TTTATTAAAATTATTACTCACACGCCAAATAAACTGCTTGTAATTATTAGTGAATGCAACCTTTGCCTATGACTTGTATACACATGATCTCGTCTACTACTAATATAAATGTTTCATATGTATTCTGTACACCACGATCACCTTTTGTTACTCTATTTACTCATGGACCCATTGCCCAATAACTTTTCATTCATTTATTCTTTGTCACTAAATGTTATAAAATGTCTTACTTAATATATATGGACGCCGTTAGGGCAATGCAAAGTTTACCAGAGGAACTTACGATTCACATTACAACTATAATATTGCAACTATAATTTATACAATTTATATCTGTGGCTCAGTACAATAAGTGTGCAAGTAATATGGACTTAGGCACTTCTCGTACCGACACAGATGTACCGCTGTTATACTGGAACTGCATTTATTAGCAAGAATATTTTTTACAAATAGCATGGTCAACAGATTATTCCACATTTTATGTTTAACCAAAAGTATGTAAATATTCGAGCGTTTTCCTATAGTTAAGTTACTCAGTGGTCGAATGGTCAACATGCTGGTCTGCAACGCAGAGGTCTCGGTTTCGATTCCCGGGCCGAGAGAAATTTGTGTGGCACTTAGTTTCTCTCGTTTGGGTGTAATATGTGTATGACCATGGTACACGCGACACAGGGTTTCCTAGGGTTTGATTTAGTGCGGGGCTATGAGTGTGTGCGTATTATTATTATGAAGTCATTATTATCATTTTCAGCCCTGTATTACCCACTGTTGAGTATAAGCCTCCTTTCGATCCTGCCAAACTTTCCGGTCCTGCGCGTCTCTGGTCCAAACATTGCCTGCGACTTTTTCAATGTCGTCAACCCAGAGTGCCATTAAACGACAAGTCGTCTTACTCAAGCGGCCATGACTACGTCCATTCACTAAATTTCCCTACACTGTCCCAACATAAAAAACACACTGTATAAGTAATCTAAAGAATAACAACAACAACAATCAAAGTAACAGCATGCTTAGAAATAGAATGACAATATAACGTGTTCAATGCTTAAGTATTCTATAAAACTCTATTTCATATAAACTCTATTTCTTACCTATTTCATATAAATATGAAATCAGCCCACCAATTATGCTCATTAAATATTATTATCTACATGGTTATCTTAATGAACCCGAAACTTCTTGATATCTCTCTCTTCTTGTTTACAAATTTTTAAAATTCACGTAACTTTTGTTACCTACAGAAAACGAGTATTTGTAAGTATTTGTATGTGAGAAGTATTTGTCGAATAAGTAAATAAGGCAAATACTAGACCACACATGCTATCTACACAACGTGGTGATTGTTTGCCAAATAAGTGTATCAAATACACCAATACAAATTGCCAGGTAAAGTGCCACTATAAGATATATTTATTTAAATTATTTATATTTACAATGAAAGGAAGTAAACTTTATGCAATAAAAACAAATATTTAATAAGTTGTTTATCGGCTTTTTAATGGAATTACATCTATTTGCCAAGTTTTTTTGGAATCAGTTAACGGAAAGTACGCGAAAGCGGATTCATCCCCTAGTTTGCAACCCTTAGATGTGGAACATATTCTTCAAATCTAAATGGGACCACTTCTGAGATATCCACTTTTCGACAAAAAAAAATCATCAAAATCGGTTCACTGAGTTATCGCGTAACGTACAAAAAAAACATACACTCGAATAAGTAGAAGTTCTCAACCTCCTTCCAAGACTTTCACGTGATAGAAGCCCTTTAAACATATGATCATACATGACTTTATTACACCAAGGGTATAAATTTATAAAACTAAACACTAGGTTTCTTCAATAGGCACTAAAATTGAAATATGATGATTAACAACGAAAAGATTTTATCAAAACTTATAGCCTAAAAATTCTTAGAAGTTCCCATTATAATTTATCTTGCCATAAAGTATTTTATATTTATTGCTGTAAATTACAAACCTAGTCTACTTATTACACATATACCTTGATAGTAATAGGCCACGGAATTTTTTAATAAATAAATTTAATAACCTTTCTTACAGAAAAACAATTTTTATTATGACTACAGTACAAGTGATAAGTTATTGCATGATAATTTGATAACATTTACTCCATCTAACATTAATGGTTCAACGTACTTTTAACCTTGAAGTTTAGTTTGTTGTTACATATTTTATGTAACATTATAAAAACAATCGGGTGTATTAAAATCAGCTGTTTCATCGTAATTACATTACTTTCGTAAAATTAATATTAATTAAATATTAAATGATTACCACTAATTACAAATTTCTTACCACAATATAATTTCTTTTTAATTTCCCGATATTTCGGAACCCACGCTCCATGGTGGATATAATAGCGGAAGATGCAGATGCTGTAGCAGTAGAGCTCCTTGTGAATGAGTTCGTCCAGGGAAGTGCTGCCACCTTATCTATTTCTGCCGACAAGCAGTAATGTCAGAATTACTGTGTTCCGGTTTTGAAGGGTAAGGGTGCTGGTGAAATCTAGTCTCAGGGTAGCAGGCAAAGTGGCAGTGCCCCTCAGATCTTTACTATTTAAAGAGCTGAGGGACACCGCAACTGTTGTGCGCGTAGCTACGCGCCTGTCCATAACAGTTGCGCCTGAAGGTAAACTAACTTCAGGCGCACGACTTGTTCGTCCCGTCACTTGATTTTATAAAAATAAAGATGATAGTCAGATATGTCTATTCTTAAAGCTGTCATCTACCGTTGGCCAGTCAACCTGTGAACATGGAGCGTGAGCTGACTCCGTCTGCGTAGAATTGTACTTCGAGAAGCCTACTATACTATACTAACTTTCATAGTTTTATAAGTTCTCCATACAAACTTCCAAGCCCTATTTCACCACCTTTAAGATTTATTTGTGTGACAAAAAGTACCTACCTTGTAGGACATAGCCCACTCCTAGGTCCCATCAATCTCTATACCAAAATTCAATAATATTGTTTCAGAGATTTAGGCGTGAAACCGTAACACACAGAGTTACATTCGCATTTACAATATTAATATGGATTATTTAATATTTACATAGCCCCAATTAAAGACATATATGCCATATGTATAATACATATATGTATAGCCCTATCCATATTACAATTAAATAAATATAACTAGGAAAGGAATAGCTAAAATATTTTTATGTATAATAAATATTCAACAACACATTATATAAAATATATTTTTTTTACATTATAAAAAAAATATTCTTCATTTAAGTAGAAGACTTAAAATAACGTTTAGGTTTCCCCTTTAGTTTGCTTCATCCAATGCTTGTATTCACCCAGTATAAATCAGTAGAAATACAGTATTTTGTTTAACGACAAATGTAACTCACTGTTGAACATTTATTTAAACTAAATCCATGGAAAAGTTATTAATCATAAAGGCTAATTTTTATTAACCACGTATCCTGATAACACGGCATTCTTACTACAAAAACTATTTTGAAAATTTTTGGATACAAGTCGTTGGCACACAAATTTATTTGCCCATAGTTATTAAAAAGCAAATATTTTGAATAGAAATTAAACAAATGAGTTAATTTCGGACATTTTTCTTTGTTTTAATCGTTGAAGGAGCAGCGTTTGTAGATTTCGAGTTTATTTATTTTTTGTAATATGTATATTTACACGGTATTACACATAAGAAACGTGAAAGTGACATGATTAAAAAATCTCAGTACAAAATACTAAAAAAACCGACCTCAAAAGTCATTCATCACCTGGTTTGCCATTCTTAGAGGTGGAATATTTTCTTCAAATTTAAATGGAACCAATTCTGAGGTTCTTTCCAACAAAAAAAGAATCGTCAAAATACCCGGAGTTATCGCGTAACATACATACAAAAAAACATACAATCGAATTGAGGATCTCTATCTATCATAAGTGAGTTATTTAAAAAGGTAGAGTAAAGAGGTCTGCTTGCCTCCCTGGGAAAAAGGTGAGAACTCTTACATACATGCATATACATATAAAGGATGCTAGGGAATCGAGTGTATTATTATAATGTACTTAATTTCTCTTTGCTATTTGTTTTTTTAACCAACTTAAGGATATCTTACAACTCTAATGTGTACTAAATAAAAATGAAAAATTTTTTGAAATAGTACAAATATACATTGTAGTATGAATGTGTAGAGACTTGTACCTATTTCTATTATAAGTGATTGAATTGGGAATAGTAATCAATAGAACTTACATAAATCAAACGATACCCTAGTCATAGAGGTTTACACCCCGGAAGATTATGTGGTCTGTGCTTTACACAATACAATAATGATTTATAAATAGATAAATGGTCGTCCAGTCCAGGAAAAACTCTTTGCCAAGGAGCGCTACTGTTACTACATACATATACCTCGGCTATTAAACACACTATTTTTATTTTCAAATGCATTTGTAAGTGTACATTTTATTCGTAATGTAATATAAAGCTCACCTTCACTTCTCACGCTCTTAAAGTTCGTATTTATGCTCGGTGTAGGCTGCATAAAGTAGAATTTTATGCACTAGTGCATAAAATAGGGCTTTATGCTCTAGTGCATAAAATAAAATCGCCGTTTAAGACCGAGGCAATGACACCTACGCCAACAGCCACGCACACCAGACCTTTATAAAATAAAGTTTTACATTTTTTTTTATACGTGTTATGTTAAAAAATTTAAAAAGTAGGCAGTAGTGATTCTAATAAGTTATAAGAAATAGAAATGCTTAAAAAATAAGCTTGTAAAATATAACTGAACATTATGTAGTCCGAGCTGAGCCAAGTATACGTGTGGAACAAAAAGAAAAACCAATATTTATTTGCAATATTGCTGTATGATTTCCTCGCAATCGAAGTGAAAAGCAGAGTTTATTACTCGTTTATAAAACCCATTTTTATAAAACACATTTTACCCTCGACTTAAGTATGCAACCTCGCCTTTATTTACGGGGGGGGAAATCTTTATAGATACCCCTGAGCCCAGGGAGACTCAGATCGCACTCAACTGAGGGGCAGGTCAGTTGTCCTTCGATCCGACCCCCAGACGAGTAAGACCGTGCAATACAGGCTCCGGAGTCCCTGCCCAGAGCCCGCTAGCTTCACTATGGGAGTGACCTCACTCAGGTGGATGTACTCGTCTCAGGTAAAGTGACGCGTTTTATGCACTTGTTTTACAATCTGCTATTAATTAAAGATGCCGTATTATGTAAAGTGAATATAGTCATTGCTATAATGTTGTCCACAGAAATGTTATTCACTAAGTGCGGAGACCTGATGGCCTAAATACAGGATATGAGGGTAGGTTTTTTACGATACTAAGTGACGCGACGAACAAGTCGTGCTCCTGGTGGTAAACAACACTCCTGTCCATAACACTCAGAGTCAGGACGCCTGCGGCGCGTTGTCGGGTTTAGTTTACGGCGTGTGCTTATGCTTTTCGGTGGTACAGCGCTCGATGTGGAGGTTCCAGCTTTTATTTCCGATTTGAGCCAATTTGGAAACGAACATTTCTAAGTTGGTTCTGGTCTGAGTATTCCGGGTACTGCCCGCAGAGTTATCATTACTAATATTCATAGTATAGGAAATTCCCTAATTTGAGACTAGAAATTTAGTGTGGTCAACCCATTTCAAAACTAGTACTTTGCATGCATTTAAATTAAAGGTATCCACAGCATTACATAACGGTGTCATTTTGGAAGCACGAGAGTATGACCAGCCTGTCTATACATATATAACTAAACTAGACTATAACTACATCATTTCAAATTTGCATTCGACAATTTGGTACCCACAAATAACAAAAACAGAGAAAGTCAGGCAGAAAAAAACCCCCGAGCTAAAGACAGTTAACTTCACCAGTAAAATCTTTTTATATGATATCTCTTAAAAAGAAGCTGATGGACACGTACTTTCCCATGCGTTCCCATACTAACTTATGGCGCACAGGCTTGGTCACTTGCCAAAGTCCAAAGTCCAAACTCGGGGTCTGTCAACGAGCAATGGAGCGCAGCATACCTGGTGTGAAAGGCTGCGAAGCTCAAATAGTCTTGGGCTGGTCATGTCTGCCGCATGCCTGAGACCTGTGTGCCAAGGTAACCACCCAGTGGAGCCCCATAAGCGTAACGCGCCGCTGCAGACACGACAACGCATGGATCCAGTTAGCTCAAAATCAGGATGCGTGGAGGGTGCATGAGGAGGTCTTTGCCCATCAGTGGGATACATCAGGCTAATTGTAATTTATCTGAAAAGAAGTTGCAAATTCACGTTTGAAAAGCCTTTTTTTTTAAGGTACCTTGTGACGAGACGAACAAGTCGTGCGTCTGATTGTAAGCGACACGCCTGTCTATAACAGTTGCAGTGCCACTCAGAACCTTAACTCGCAAAGATCTGAGTGGCACTGCAGTCTTGACAAGTCCCATGTGCCTGTAATTTCACCAGCACCTTTACCCTTCAAAACCGGAACACATTACTGCTTGGCGGCAGAAACAGGTAAGGTGGCAGTACTTCCCTGGATGAGTTCTTTCACAAGGAGGTACTATTAAAGAAAACCTTTTTTTTTTAATCAATGATTACGTAGATGATACGAATGCATGGTTTCAGCTTTGAAATTTTTGTAATGATGAAAAAAAAATGTTCTTAGGTGACTTTGACGTAATAATAATAATAATATGTGCCAGATGATCACATTACACCTTACTTGGACTCAAACTAGGGAATTTCCTGTAGTATACCTAAGTACCAGAACAGCGGGATTCACTTTGGGGCACTTCCCAAAACACCCAGAATGGTAACAATTTAGAAAAGTTCATTTTCCAAATTGGTCCCACCGGGAATCGACGCCGGGACCTTCGTATCCAGCAACCACAATGTAAACCTTTAGACCACTGAGGCCGTCATTGAATGAGTTGTAGGCTTAATCGATTTCAAGTGCAATTTTATTACCTACGAAATTTATATCTTTAGATATCGATTTGATTTGAATAATACTTTTAAGAAAATTGTGTCAACGTATTATAAACTTTTCTTGCCTTTCGATACTCTATTATATGTAGTTTGTAACCATACATAAATCTTGACCAATCATTTTAAAGTATTTATTAAGATGATTGAACTAATAACTTTATGTCATAACAAGGATGACATAAAGTTGTTAGGTCAATAATCCAAGACGGCGCAAAAGTTCGTAATAAGAAAGCAGTGCATTCAACTATTTATCAATCTCATTTCAAATATCTATGAACTTGTAAAATAAGTATAAATTGAATATTTTCGCCAAATCAATTTAGTATTCCTTTCAAAATGAAGGTGTTAACAGTGCTATTTTTCGCAGCGTTGGCTAGCGTTTCGGGGTTTTTGATAAAAGTACCTACAGTGCCTACGCAACCCAGACCTGGTAACTAATAGTTTTTGCTTATTATTTTCTAAATATATTACTTATTCCTTAACCTGTATTTGTGTCTTTTAAGTGCTTTTGCTCAATAATATTTTGTCAGAAAATTATTTACACACCAATTGCCTGATCCCAAACTAGGGAATTCCTTGTACTACCAGTATTTCAGTACCAGAGCAACGGAATTCGCTCGGAACACCCAGAATAGAACCAATTTAGAAAAGTCCCAAATTGGTTACCGGGAATCGAATCCCGGACCTCAATATCCAGTGCCCACGATGCAAACCTTTGGGCCACCGAGATCGTCCAACAAACTAACGTCTAAATATCTTTTTTTTAACCGACTTGAAAAAAAGGAAAAAGGAGGATGTTCTCAATTCGACTGTATGTTTTTTTTATGTATGTTACGCTTTAACTCCGATATTTGTGAACCGATTTTCATGATTCTTTTTTTGTTGGAAAGAAGGTACCTCCATAGTGGTCCCATTTCATTTTAAAGAAAATCATCCACCTGTAAGGGTGGTTGATCACGCATGAACATTCATTTTCATAAATAGCGCCTAAATTTTACTTAAAGAGCAATTATTTTAATGGTTGGTTTTGCTATTCTCCAATTCAAGGCGTTTTTCTCTCTCAATATACTTGGAGTAGTGAGAACCGATTTTTATCTCCTGTGTCAAGTCATGTATAGTGGGGAACTAGGGGATATTTCAATAAAACTTGGCAAATGCATGTAATTCCACGTACTTTTGAGGTCGGTTTTTTTAGTTCTCGGTACTGAGATTTTTATAATATCTAGTGACGGGACGAACATGCCGTGCACCTGATGGTAAGCTAACACGCCTGTTCATAACAGTTCCAGTGCCACTCAGAACTTTAAATCGGAAAGATCTGAGGAGCACTACACACAATGTGACTTGTCAATGCCTGTACTTTCACCAGCACCCTTACCCTTCAAAACCGGAACACAGCAATGCTGACATTGCTGCTTGACGGCAGAAATAGATAAACTTCCCTGGACGAACTCTTTCCCAAGGAGCCTTACTGCCACTAAAATTTTTATTATTCTTTAATTTTTAAAATAAAAGAAAAAAAAAATTAATTTATTTGCATCCCTAAAGTACTCATAATCAATAAATAATATGGTAAACAACTAAACAAATGACCTGATGTCAAATTAAGGAGTACCCTGTGCCCAGCAGACCCAGATAAGAATCAATTAAAAAAGTCATTTTCCAAATTGGTACTATAGGGACCTCCTCGTCTAGTGCCCACAGTGCAAATCGTTGGGACATCAAACAGTGCAAATCGTTGGGACATCAGAGTCGTCATTTTTTTATTTAATTGGTCAATCAACAATTGTTACACCAATAAAAGATCAGAAACCATACATGCAAAAAAAACTAAGTTAAGTAAAAAAACTTAAAACTAAGTGCACAATCTATTATAGACCGACACTATACATGCACAATAAATTATTGCAGAGTAAAAAGAAACTTACAAAAAGAAAAGTGTAAACGTTATTTTAACCATATAAATCACTTACAACTGGTGTTAATATCTTAAGACTAAGCGAAAGCATAAAAAAGAAATTATGTGACAAAGTTTTAGGAAGGTGACGACATTTCTCGCTTGATTGTTACTGCAGAGAAGTAGTGTAAATCAATCGTTGCGTTGTGATCATTGTACAACTGGCAAAGCCTAGCAATGGGAGGATTCGCGCCTGAAACACTGCTGCGAAAAGGCCTACAAAGAGGCTTTATGGGAAATCTAGGTAGTCTGCGGGGAACATTAAATGATATAAGGTTTAGAACTGAACTGGATTTAACTTGATTTTTTAATAATTTATATAAAACCATCAAATTATCTAAAATATCACGTCGCTTGTCCAAAAACAGCATTTGGAACGTTATATGCACGAAGTTTTTTAGCTTGTCCAATGTAGAACGCCAAATGATTCACAAACCTCTTCTGTATCCTCTGCAATCTCTGCGAAATGTGGACGCAACACAGTGCTACAGTATTCTAGAATACTACGGACTAAGGTGTTATAAAGTATTAACTTTGTTTTTGGACTCTTAAACACTTTACAGGTTCTGAGTAAGAAACCTGAGATATGAGAGGCACTTTTTATGGTTTTATCAATATGAGGTACGAAAGTGAATTTTTGTCAAGTATCACACTGAAATCTCTAGCCATCTCAGACTCAACCAGAAGTGTCCCTTTTATGTAGTAATTAAAGGAGATAGGTGAAAGATTTCTAGTAAATTTAATGTGGGTACACTTTGCAACGTTCAACTCCATACCATTCTGTCACACCAATGTACCACATTATTTAAGTCAGTTTGAAGAAGTTTAGAGTCATTGTCACTTAAAATGACTCTACAAATTTTTAAGCCATCGGCGTACACAAAAGGAGAAGAACTATTAATAATCAATTTTATACCATAATATAAATAGTTCATTTAGTCTCGCAGAATTTTTTCTTCACCATAGCTAAAGTTAGTTGGAACGGATCTCTTCCAGATTAACTCACCATTATGTAGAGGTATGTTGTGTCCATTCGGTATTCATGTAAACCTGTATAGGGTGTAACTAAAAGGTACAAATAAGTTTACTAGGCATCTTACTAATAACAGCAACAACTCAACAAACAATATGAATCAAAAAATCTATTTAGTGACCCATACAAAATGTGTTCTGCCGATTAAAAATTTGTAAGACGAATCAACGTTTACTTTTCACGAATTTATTTATTTTTTCATTATAGTCCTTATTCGTTATGAATATAATAACAAACGGAAATACGGTTACATTTAGGGTCGGCCGTCAAGCTCTATAAAGTAATATTGTAAAAAAAAGCGACTCATTCTTCAATTTAAAATTAAATTACGCTATACGTCCAATTAAAATTGTTCCAGCTTCATCTGGATGGGTTCACCTTCAGAAGTTAATACTTTCGCTTTTCGAGAATGTGTGTGAAGAGAGCACAGATCCGACAATCATCAGATTAGCGCAGGAATTCACTCTAGATTCATCAAGTGGTGTTTATCTGGTAAGCGTGTTCATACACTCACTATCCACTTTTGACACACGTCCAAATGCATGATTGTAATTAAGATGGTCTTATGATGTTAAATTACGAGAAAAGTTTGTTGCTTTGATCAATAGATTAATAAAAGCTAGTTTATTGAACGACAATTTCTATTTTCACTGCGGCGATGTTGAATAAATATAAGGTCATGTTATAACTCATATACATATAACTCTAATACATACATATAAGTAATAAAACTGACAGTACAGATATAAGTAATAAAATAATCTCTAATCAAGAAAAGATTTTTCTACGTAATTATAGGTCACATATTATTATCAAATATGTAAAAACGTTGCGTAAAAATTTTTAGAGCAAATATTTTTGACACGGTTGTTATCATTCGACTATACATTTGACCTCTCTTGTTTCATACCGACTGCTTCGATAGAATTAGAACCACCTATGCATTCTGAAAACTACTACGATTATACATATAGAATTAAAGTTCAATATTTGAATAACTCAATCTATTATAATGACATTCTTTTCAGAAACCAGACGTAGTAAACAATTTACAAGATCACATATCAAGCAAAGGCTTAATGAAGAAGGGCGAAATTTTTTCAGAATACAATGCCGATAACTTAATAGAACTAAGAACAGTTTTCGAAGTGCTTTACTTCGCTAAAGATTTCACTACATTCTATAGAGCAGCGGCTTGGGCCCGTCAGAACGTCAACTGTGGTTTATATGTGGATGTTATATACTTTGCAATACTTCACAGGAGAGATACCGCCTATCTTACTTTACCACCTCCATATGAATTATTGCCGAACTATTTCATTACGAGACCTTTTATTTACAAAGCATCAGCACTGCTTTCGGGTAATGAGCTTCCAATTGATGACACAGCTCGTGATGATGGCAATTCATACATTATAGATGCTAACTACACAAGTGATTTCACTAATGACAATGACGAATCAGCACTAGCATACTTCCGCGAAGATATTGGCTTGAATACCTACTACTTCTTACAAAAACTAAAGAAATGCCCGTGGATACAAGAAAATTCGGATATAAACAACCGGCATGGGGAGTTCTTATATCACATGATGAAGCAACTGTCGGCTAGATACAGTCTTGAGAAATATTCGTTTGGTCTATCAGATAGCGATGATATGGATTGGGAGTCTTTTATTGTACCCGTTTATGATCCTATGCTTATTTATTCGAACGGAGACAACTTTGGCTACAGGACATTTCCTTTGGATCTTTCTGATAACGCAGATGTCCAGTTATTGCAAAATATCGAAAGCAACTTAGCTACAGTTGTTACGCATATGGTGAGTAATTTTTATTTTTGTTATTGAAACATACCATTTTGTATAAATAACCATAATACAAATATAATAACACTGTCAATAATAATGTTCATATGAAGGTAAATCTTTCGCAGAGGAGTACAGGATACAACAAAACGCAAATAATAAACCGTCTCATGGAGATTCTTCTCACTGGGGACAGAAGTTTCGAAGTAGTATTGCAAAAACTGGTCGGCAAAGATAACAGTATCAGGTAAATTTATTGTGATTACAATGATTTTTAACTTACAGAAACAATTCTTTCATAAACTCATCTACGTACGCCTCCGGCTTGAACGTTTCATTTTACATTTCAGCCAACCTTCCGTACTAGATCATTACATGACAACTCTTCGAGACCCTATCTTCTGGAGACTTAACAAGCTTGTGGTCAACATAGTTGACAATGCCCTCAAAGTACTTCCCACTTACACAAGAAGTGAACTCTACTTCCCAGGAGTAGAACTAGTAAATATAGAAGTAAAGAAAATATCAACATTCATCGATTTCTTCCAATTTGATGTCACTGATGCTTTGAAATCTACCTCAACTACAACATTTCTAGTCAAAATTGGCCAACCAAGATTAAACCACAAACCTTTTACAGTAAAGCTAAATATTACCTCTCTAGTAGCTCAAAAGGGATTAGTAAAAATTTACTTAGGACCAAAAACACCTCCTGGAGATTTAGTTGCATACAAAAATATGTTTGTATTGCTAGATAGTTTTGAATACAGTTTGAAGAATGGCATTAACATAGTTACAAGAACATCTGACGAAATGGCGAATCTTTCTGATGATTTCACTTCTTTTAAAACTCTTCGTAAAAACGTAGCTGATGCAGAGTTTGGGCTAGGTTCTTTACCAATGAAAGATATCGAATCTAAGTTGGGATTCCCATCACGTTTAATCGTACCTAGAGGTGCTGAAGATGGACTACCTATACAGATATTTGTATTTGTTGCGCCATTTGTGAAAGTCAGTCCTAGTAGCATGTTTATGCCATCTAATATGGAATTTAACTCAGAAATTTTGTCACCTGGTTTCCCACTAGATTTAGGTATAACTGATGCTCAACTATTTGAGCTCCCCAATGCTTTAGTTAAAGAAGTGTCAATAACTCATAAGGGAGACAAAACGACTAGCTACGGAGGAACTAGCGATGCCAAAAAATGGCAGCAAGGTACTGTTGGCGGTACTAGTCAGAAAATTTTTGGAAAGAAAAACGAACGTTTTGACTACAAATCTAAAAAAGCACAATATGGAAACAAAAAAAACTACGACTACACTGCTAAGAGAGGTGACTACTACAAATACAAGAACAAAGAGTTTCGAACTACGACTGAAAGTATCAATACAGGAGATACAATTACACGTATTTATGACAATAAGGTTGACCATACTGAAATCAGAGATGATAAAATAATAAGAAAAGATAGCTTTAATCAAGATGTTATCCTCAACTCGGAACAAAAGAAAATTATTGTTGACGAAAGCATTTTTGTACCCACCGAGTCTGATGGCAATGACAACAATACGTTAGGGAAAGTAGACCTTAATAAAAACAGCATCTTTGGGATTAACGACTTAGACACAGATATTGACAATACTGGTCATACATATACCAAATCTGCTTTTGTCTATGATGATAACAAAACGGTTGCGAAAATTGATGTCAATAAAGACGTGTATGTTGATACAAATAAAAAAATAGTTGACTTCGATAAAGAAGTAAATGTACCTACCCACAAATATGCCAAAGATGTGACCAACGTTGATAATAAACGTACAGATAAAGTTGGCTTAGACAAAGAAGTAAGAGCACACGTAGATACTGAATACAATAAAGTAGATTTCGACAAAATATTTCCTATTCATAAAGAAGCCACTATTGTAAATGACTTCAAACAAGATAACAAATTAGATGGTTCAATAAGAGACACGGAGGATATGTATGTTGTAGATCCGGTGGAAGAAGACGACAAAAATTCAATTCTTAGTCCAACAGAACGAAAGTATAGAAAACCTTCGATTTATGATTACCTGGTACATCCAGTTTATGTTGATTATTCTGATGAAAAAGTGTACGAATAGCTGTTTGGTGTACACCTAGTTTTAAGATAGTTATATTATTAGGGTTAGGTTCATAATTAAATAACTCTAAAACATTAGAGTTATTTAATTAAGAACTATGTTGATTAAAAAAAAATAAAGTTGCGATATATTAACATGACTTGTATTGATTGTTAGTAAAAGTTATCTACATATTTCGAAATTATACATTAATTAGTGCTTAGATATTACAAACATAACTTCATAAACATTCCAAACCTAGGAAGAATGACCTTCGATGAAATAAACATGCACGGCTTCTTAAAAAACTTAGATCAAATTTCGAATGACACTAATCGTAGCTAATATGAATAATGAAACAACGGAATTGAGTGTAATATTATTGCTATTATTGCTATTTCAAGCGGTTTTTTATCATTATTTCTGGAATGGATCCAAATGTTTTAAAACGACGCTTTCCCTATTTTCATCGCGGAAAATTTAAAATCCATCGCTCACGACTGTGACAACGCCTAGAATACAAATAGAAAAACTTTTACAGTCGATTACAAAGTTTTGTTTCATAGGTAGACTGGAGCGTAAGTGATAATAAATAATCTAACTTGCCAAATACTTTTTATGTGGTACGTAATGGATACAACTAGAAAATATGAAAACCATGAATGATCCAAATAGATCCAATCCAAACAAATTGTAAAATAAAAATTTGAACTTCGTAAATTTTTAGTTGTTGACAGAGAAACAGACAATAAATTATAAGCTGCAGGAAAAATGCCAAAATAGTAACACCCAAAATAAATCTCAAAACAAATCCACAGTACAGTTGGAAATTCAATACATTCTGATGATGAAAAGATGTTTTGTTGCCTTTGGGTAATTAAATTATATACTTAGCTTGTTACAAAAATTAGGAAAAACGTAAAAGTCGCGAGTTTTACAAAGATTTCATATTGCTTTAATAAAATTTTATGTTACAGAGAGTAGAACATATCACACTGTTATTACAATAGTGTTGTAACTCAAAATATATAAAATTCGAGATAATACTAACGCTGAACGTAAAATTTGATTCTACCTACGTCAATAAAAGCGTCATTAGAATATTGTAAGAAACAATTGAAAAGATATCTACTTAGCTCAAAATAAGACAAAACTTTTTGTAAGTCTACGTAAATATCAATATATTTGGCGAGCAGAAAATTGTTTAGATACCTATAATAAACTTTAGCCATGAAGGTTTAAATACAAATTGTATAAATTTAAATTTAAAAATAAATTTTAATAATCTTTCACGGAAAGTGAGTAATTTAACTTATTAATAACTATATATATAACTATATAATAATACCTATATAATACCTATATAATTAATTAACTGCCTCCGTGGCCGAACGGTTACCATGTCGGACTGCCACGCAGAGGTCCCACAGTTGATTCCTGGGCCGGGAGAAAGATTTGTATAGTCTACACTTATTTCTCTCGTGAGTTTGGGTGTCATTTGTGGTTGTCTATGTGTGTGTCCATGGCACCTGCGACACAGGGTTTCCCTAGTGCGGGGCTGTGTTGAGTGTGAGCGTTATTATTATTAATTCGTTTTTCATCGATTCTGAAAAAGTACCCATTTTGAGTTAGTATACTATTATATTAACAGTGCGATATATAAACTTTAATAGAAACGCAAATATAGTTAATTGCTAGAGCAAAATTAACAAAAGCAATGAACGTTAATGTGTTCATCATGTTCAGTTGAAACAGGGCTAGGGCGCTGTGTTTTCACTGCCTCTGTTTACTTAGTTTAAGAGGCACGGTCGTCAATTACTAGCTACCCTGTTCCAAAATTCAAACTACAACAACATGAACCCATTTATACGTCCCACTGCTAGGCACGGGTCCACCCTGGACCAATGCGGGTTGGGGACTTCACACGTTTTCCGAGCGTTGTGAACCTTCGACTTCGACGACGTGCAGGTTCCACCACGATATTTTTCTTCACCGAAACGCTAAATTTCTTATTAAATTTCGCACATAAATTCTGAAATTTTCTGAGGTGCGAGCCCGGATTTGAAGCCGCGGCGTCTGCTTGAGAGACGGTAGATCAAAGCATGAGGCTACCATGGCTGTTTTTTGACAACAATGACATATTCTTTTACAATTTGAAATTTTGTGTCAGTACTCCTGTAATTGGAAATAAAGAAATTATTATTACAATTTCACTGCAACATCTGGCTTCTATTCGATGTTTTGGATCGTAATTAAGTGCTCTGGTATAAAGGGTGCTGTTCTTATATTCGCTTAAACGGTCAACTTATAATGATTCATGAACACAAAACGCAGGAACTAAAATTACTATTTCTGTGCCAAAAGCTCGTACTATTTCCACATCATCGACAGCAATGATCCTAGGTCCATAGCAATGGTTACTATCCAAACATTGCTGTTGGCTATGAAAGCCAATTATTTTAGCTTTCTGAATGCACTCGCTGTAAATTGCTCAACTGTCAGTTACGGATCGGCAAATAAATCTAAATGAACTTCACACATTGGGATTCAAATATTATTAGATTAATTTACAGAGAACGGGATGTACCTGGTATTAAAGTGTCTATTTTGCTAGGAGATTAGTTTTGACGGATGTGATGCTCACATAAGACGTAAGTAGTCTTAAATAATCGCCCTTGATAAAACAAAGCATAACATTAGATATTATGTTTATGAACCAAGTATTTATAATAAATCACAAGAGTAATTTTCAGGTTAGTATTTTCAAGTATCTAATTGTTATTAGATACCTGAAAATAATATAATAGAATGAAATATTATCGTGAAATATCATTTAATATCCTCGACTCCAGTGGCCTAACGATTTACGGCCTCGGGTTCGATTCCTGGTAGGACCAATTTGGGAAATGAACTCTTCTAAATTGGTTCCAGAGTGAATTCCGTTGTTCTGGTGCTCTGGTACAGGGAATTCTCTAGTTTGACACCAAGCAATTAGTCTGGTTACACATGTTACTTCCATATTCGAGTGTAATAATCAGAAATATTATTTAATATTTCACGATAATGTACTACGCCATCATGAGAACGAGAACGTCATCCTTGATGCGTAGAGTACGTGGCAGCGGTAACGGCATCGTGACTTTTATTGCTGGCAGGGTCCAGGGTTCATTTCTTGAACACTGGATCAAACTTCATGTATACACTAAAGCCAGTAGATATTTATCAGTTATAATTACTAACATTAGTGTGTAAGTTTTTTTTTCTTTGTTATACTAACCAATATGGATGAATAATCAGAAATAAAGTATTAAATATGAATTAACATGTTCCTTTATTACCTAGTTTATTACGTTGCTGTAGTTGAATGTAGTTGAACCATTCTTACTTGGAAAGTTCTTGTTTAAGTTTGTGGAACTCCAGGTCTAATTATTCTAATCGATGTTTTTGTATTACTTACCCGTTTTATGACTGTATGTTTCTCTTCTAAAAAAAAATTGCTACTGAAATTAGGTAGAGAAAACTAATTTGAAAATTACCCACAACATACAGAAACATTTGAAAACAATACTTATTTTTATTGAATATAATGTTTTGACTACAATGACATTTATGTATTTCTATTGGTAGCCTATCACAAAGTCGACAATTTTTTTGTCCGAAATAACGTTTGTTCGAATTTTCATTACACCGAAAACCGAATTATAATGAAACAGTTGTGCTTTCAGGATATCTTGGATGTTTATCGCAATGACACGATTAGGTTTGGTTAGGTTGGATTAAGTTAGGTTTAAAGGAAAAAACATTTTCCTCTCAGAATTACTTTCGAGGCTATGAAATTTTGACCAAACGTTATTTCTGGAAAATGTAATTTCGGACAGTAGTCCGAATGCGATCAGTAGATAGGTAATCATTTTTATTGATACAAAGACCAAACAATCAGAAAGGAAAAATTCCTTCGATAGGACCAGTCCTATCGAAGTCCTGTCCTCGTGTCCAGACACGAACCAAAACAAATTGCCTAAACTTGGTTACAATGTCCAGTTGGATCAAAGAAATTTTCCTTTATATTTGTTCGATCTTTTATATCAATAATAACAGATGAAAATAGATGTAACGTGTATATATCTGGAAATTATTTTTAAAAAAGCTATAATTTAAACTACCTTTCACTATTTTATAAATGGAATTGATTAAAGATCACTTTAATAGCAGTAGAGCTCCTTGAGAGGAGTTCGCCCAGTGAAATACTGCCACCTTACCTAATATCCCATAGTAATGGGAGCATTACTGCGTTCCAGTTTGAAGGGTAAGGGTGCTGGTGAAATTACAGGCACATGGGACTTGTTAACTTATGTCTCAGAGTGACGAGCGCAGCGGCAGTGCCCCTCAGATTTTAATTTTAAAGCTCTGAGTGGCACTGCAACTGCCATGGATATGCGTGTAGCGTACCATCAGGCGCACAAATTATCCGTCCCGTTACTTGATATTAGTACAAAAAAAACCTAATAATAATTCGAAGCACGTCAAGCAAAAAATTCGATTTAAATACATTACTTAGATGTTTTTTTACATCGTGTCGTAATTTCCTAAAAAGACAAGAAAAAATAAAATAAAGTAATAGTTTTCACAGCAAATGGAAAACACATTGCAAGAACGCACAGGTACTTTTAAGTGAAAACATTCATTCATGTGAATTAAAAGAACATTAAATTAGAATAAAGCACACGACAAAAACAGTGAAGAAGTAAACAGATAAAGTTTTTCTAATGAATTGAATGAAATACACGCAACCAATCAAGAAACTATAATTAGATCCCGATGAATGAATTAAAAATAAAACTGTACTCGAACAAGTTGAATCGACGACATTGACAGAAAGATCGCATATAAATAAATCGGGAAATGAAAATAAATTTTGGATATGCGTAAGCCATAGTAGCACAGTCATTAAAAGCTTATGAGATTTACGAAATAGCATGATAATTCCATCGTTAAATTCAGACTTGAGCTCGTGTGTATATAATCCACGTGATTGTGAGTATTTCCGAGTCATTCATGAATCACTATAACTCACCACAACAAGCGTTTTGGTATTCAGGAAGAGTAATTAGCTGTAAATCTTCAATGTTCCTGGTTACGATGAAAATCATAGCGCTGTGGTATGTAATGTGGTATGTAAGTACCTTAAGTGTTTACACACATCAAAATGTTTCTAAATGTGATTCCAATTTTAGAAACTGATAGGTGTAGGTAATATTTGAGTTATAGAGGTTTTATTACTGGTTTTTTGTTTTAATTTTTTATAATCTATAAGAACCACGTAATTTTAGCAAAATTACTATGTTCTAACGGAAGTTGCAGGGGCACGTAAAAACATTTTTCTACAATATTCAAAAACCAACGCCAGAAAATATATCATTAACATGTCGGTGCAGAGAGAATAATGTAAAATATGACCTAATTTCGTCGTCTGCGCAATATTTCAGTGCAGAATTATCGTCACGCTGTAAAACTCATGGAGTCAGAATACGTAAATAAATACGCAAACGTTTCTGTCATTGTACACGAACGCGGGAACACAAAAATTATAGCCGATCACCGGCATTCTATATCTGCGTCGGCGCCGCCCGCCTTATAACCCGTTTCACGCGCCAGTGGTCGCCAATCGAAACAGTTCAAGAAACAAATTGTTTTCAATACAATCTCTAAAGAAAATTATAATATGTTTTGGGATTGTGATAAAAAAAAACGATATTTCAGTGAAATTTATATAAATTACCACAAGTTTATATAGTTTATATAGTAGTAGTTAGTTGAAGTTCAAATGCCTAGATTCTATTATTATTGTAGAAATAATAAGAATTATGTTAATAGGGATCAATTGTATTATTTTAAAAAAATGGATTAGTTTTTTTTAAACCTATTAACTAAAAATGTTTGGAACAACTGTAAAGAAATCTTTCGTATCGGTTAAGTGGTGTGACCAAGCAATTTTCCAAGAATTGTTTCGGCCGCTTCGAAGGGAATTTCCTGTTCTTAATCAAGAAAGTATTAGTCCGAGTCACGGTCTCTTTCTGGATTGCTTTAATCTCAACTCGTGTAACGCGTTTGATTTCAAATGCCATTTTGACAAAATGTCTTAAGAATTCGGTATCGAGACCGAAAGCAATAAATTTACTTGTTTGACTAGGATAGAGTAGGATGTAACATAGTGAATTGTAAATTAACAATTCCTATGGGTCTATATTTACTCAACGTTCAAGTATTGATCAAAACTATGTTTGATGTTATACTTGTCTTTTTTCTTTTTGTGTACATGATTATTTCTTGGTAACATTAAAATGACATGCGCATTTAACGTTAATAAATCAAACAAGCAAGACTCAATGAACAAAAAAAAAATGTTTGTATTGTTTTTGTTATTTAAGTAAAGTGTCAACTGTAACAAAAGAGACTTAACAGCATTTTAGGATTTTTCTTACACCTGCTTCTCAATTCACACAAACTATAAATACGTCACCACGTTTTGGTTAGAAGAAGACAGTAGATTTTTACTTATTTTCGTAATCCTGCTTCCTACTCTGTGAAGATCTATAAATAAGGGTGCCAAACCGACGTAAATTCCAGTGTAACGACACTCGCACTCGGATTCAGTTCTTGTTACCACTGCCAACCCCATAGAAACACCATGGTGAGGATTATCTTTATTCCGAATGTTGTCAAGTGTGAAATAAAGTGATTTTCAAAAGTGATACAAAGTCTGTGAATATGGAAGGATATTGTGTTTTGTGTTAATAAAAGTGAAAATTCGAAATGTAAAATTAAGTTAAAATATTGGTCCTGATAAGGAATTAATTACTGGTCTTGGATTTCGAGAAAACAATTTGGCAATCATCTGGTTAACATCTCGCAATCGACTCTTTCTTCTAACTTACTGTTTTTTAAGTATATATTAACTTTTCTATTTTTATTTAGGACACGGATGACGACCAGAAGATGGCAATGCTCCGCAAAGCCTTCCAAATGTTTGACACTACGAAGTGTGGCTACATCGACGTCCTCAAGATCTCAACAATCCTTAACACCATGGGCCAGCTTTTCGATGATTCTGAACTCCAGGCCCTCATTAGTGAAAATGACCCAGAAGGTATTAAACTGATTCCTTTTTTTTAATTGAGCTGTTTTCTCTGGCGGATGTTGTCGTCTTTTCCTTTTATGTTAGCATCACCCATATATTAATTTTGTACATTTATGAATATACAGATATGTTGTACAAGAGACTAAAGCGCTACTAGTTTGAATATTCTTAGTTAATAGTAACGAAAACTGCAGCGCTTGCAATTGAAACAATTTTTGCAACCTCTGTCGACCTAGTTGATTCACCAATCACACGTCATCGCGATGCGACACCTTATCATCCTATTAAGCTTATTCCGCGTTACTGGCACCGCTCACTCATCGCAAATTTGCATCTGGCATTATCCAATTTCTTTCAACTGCATCCGATTATTCTATTCAGTCAGCCTGCAGTAGACAGCACTCATTCAATTATCTGCTGTCAAATTATTTCCCGTCGTATACTCTGTAAGTAAATAGGATCTAACAAAGCACACCGCAAAAATTCTTAAACTACGACGTCTATTTGTTATATCCCTAAATTTGGAGAAGAATTATGTATCTACCATAATTTCATTGACAATGCCAAATCTTTTCTAACACCCTTGGCACTCGGCCATAAACGTTGATATCGCGTAATAAATGACAGCATTCTATTGAAAGTTGTTCTATGATGATTAACATTATTAATCATAAACCATCGGTAACATATTGTCGAATTCCTTGTCTTCCGTAGCTTCGATTACTACAAATACTAAAAGCTTTTATTTGTTTTTACTGACGAAATATTGAACCCTAAATTCTGAGTCTTTGGTGTTACTTACTTTCATATCAGTATCTGCCTGCTAGTTTTCTATATTAGGATAAGAAACTTAGTTCGCGCTCGTTCAACGCGTAATTATACTTCAAATATCCCTGAAAATTGTTAAATATTCTCGAATAGGTTTGTTTTTAAAATATGATCCTAAATTTTACTGGAGACGAAATGAATCACAAAAATCAAGCTAACCTCATGTGTCGCGTTGAAATATCCAGAATATTTTTATAGACACGGCCACTCTAATGAGGTTATTTCCGTGCGAGTGTCTCCTCGGAATTCCTTTTCCTTCGATCGACTCGACTCTAGCCTTGCTCTGCTTGTTTATGTTGTAATCGTCGAAAGACGTACCTATTTTTCATACGAAATACTCTAATGTTTTTAACCTAGTTATGTGTTACTCGTTTTTTTTATGTGTTCGATAATTGAAGAGTTTATTTTTGATTTAGGGATTTAAAAATGTTAGATTTACTTTGCAACCGAAACATCAGGGAGATAACAGTTATAAATGTTTTTTTAGAATGTTACAATGTTACTTTTTCATCATTCAGTTACAAAAGCATTACATATTATAAATACGTGTTTTTCGTCACTTCAGGTTCCGGCAAGATTAACTTTGACGGATTTTGCAACATCGCCTCCCACTTCCTTGAAGAGGAGGACGCTGAAGCTATGCAACAGGAACTGAAGGAAGCTTTCCGGTAAAGTTTACAAAATGTTTTACTCTATATAATAGCAATGTGTAAATCGCACTATTTTTTTTTCCCACCCGGCTTCGGCAAGTTAAATTACAATATGTGTAACAATAGCGTAACAACACGGCGGTAAAATATATAAGTTAATTAATCATGATTATAATTATTAATACAAAGTTGGAACACAAAGAAAGATTCCTTCGACCAGGCTGGATTCAAACCAGCGACCTTGCCATACCGTGGCTGACAGCTCTTGCTGTTCCATCTTTGTATTAGCAACTACAAGAAACTAGTGAAGTAATTTCACGAAACTAATTGAATTTCACTATAATATAAAACATCATGATATTCAATGAACTTAATATTAAAATTATGTTTATTTCGTCGGTGTGTTCTAGACAGGGCGCAAGCGCCATTTGAAAAAACTTTTCAAGGGTGCATAATTTAGTAGTAGTTAACACGACTGTTTTAAAATATTTACATCCTGTTTTAAAATCTAATATTTTTTAAACTTAAACAAATCCAAAACTGAATTTAAAACAGAAGGTAAATACTTAAAAACACTCGTGAATAACTAAAACATGCTCACCTGAATTTTTTTTCCAAAATAACGCTATCACACTTTCTACAAAACACAGATGATTTGTAATTCAATTTTTTCGTCTCCAGGTTGTACGATCGTGAAGGCAACGGCTATATTACTACCTCGACCCTGAAAGAGATCTTAGCCGCTCTTGATGACAAGCTGAGCAACGCTGACCTGGACGGCATCATCGCTGAAATTGATACCGACGGCTCTGGTACCGTCGACTTCGATGGTAATTTATTTTACTTTGTAATAGAATTAATACTTTTCATAGATAGTTACGATGTCGAAGCACGCATTTGAAACTATAACGTGTATGAAGAAGGTTAGTAGCAGTAGAGCTCCTTGTGAACGAGTTCGTCCAGGGTAGTACTGCCACCTTACCTATTTCTGCCGCCAAGCAGTAAAGTCAGCATTACTGTGTTCCGGTTTTGAAGGGTAAGGGTGTTGGTGAAATTACAGGCACATGGGACTTGTCAACTTATGTCTCAGGGTGACGGGCGCAGTTGTAGTGCCCCTCACAGATCTTTGCAATTTATAGCTCTGAGTGACACTGTAACTGTTACGGACAGGCGTCTAGCTTACCATCACGCGCACGACTTGTTCGTCCAATGTTGATGTTATAAAAGAAGGAAAAGTGTCAATTATTAACATAATTATAACAGCTCTTGGCAATATATTTTTTCTTAAATATAAATATCAATAAAAACAGGTAAAATAACTTCTGTGTTAAAAGTTTATTACGAACTTTTAACACAGAAGTTATTTCAAAAGCAATTCCGTTTTATGAGTGTTTATGAATGTGTGTACGTTATTATTATTATCTACAGCCCTAACTAATAACGATCTAAGACAACTTTCTCTTTCTTTTCAGAATTCATGGAGATGATGACTGGAGACTAAGCTTATCGTCTAAATTTCCATAGTATTAATTCATTATTGTTACGTTTAGAACTTTTATATTGTAAATTTTTAAGAGTACAAAAACAGTATATGCGGTATTAGCATGATTGTTAGAGAAACTATTCACATTGTTTGAATCTATCGTATAGGTAAGCAATTTCGGTATTGCATTTTATTTTTAACCTACAGACTGTAGGCCAAACATCTTTGGTATGTGTTCCAAGGAACTATTTGCCAGAATAATTTGCGTGTAACGAATAATATAAACAATTATATGCTAATATTTATAACGCATTAAATTTATTTATATATTTGAAACTCTACGTAATAGTATTATATAGTATAGAATATAAAATATTATTTACAACATCGTAATGTTGGTATTTATTTCTAACCCATAAACTTTCATTATAGAGACACTTTGTACTAATAAAGATTCATTTACTGCCGCCGTTGCCGAATACCGGACTGTCACGCAGAGGTTCTAGGTTCGTTTCCCGGGCCAGGAGAAATATTAGTATAGCCTACATTTATTTCTGTAGTGAGTTTGGGTGTCATTTGTGGTTGTCTGTGTGTGTGTGTCCATGACACCCGCGACACAGGGTTTCCCTAGTGCGGGGCTATGTTGAATGTGTGCGTTATTATTATATTATTATTAAAGATAAAACAGAAAGCTTAAATTTATTCGTCATGGTTCACAAAAAGCTTTCAAATCTCCAGTCACATTGACGAACGTACCTGCGCATTTAAATTGCACCTAAATTGGGAAATATACATTTTTTATGTTTAAGTTGATACAACATGCAATGCACTTTTTCAGACATTGAAAACACCTATAGTAACAGTATAGCACCTTGTGAACGAGTTCGTCCAGGGAAGTACCTTACCTATTCGTGCCAGCAAACAGTAATGTGAGCATTAATGAGTTTTGGTTCTAAATGGTAAGGATGCTGGTGAAATTTTAAGCATATGGGATTTGTGAACTTATGTCCCAAAATGAAGGGTGCAGTGGTGATGCCCCTCAAATATTTGTGATTTAAAGGTCTGAGTGGTAGTGCAACTGTTATGGGCATGCGTGTCGCTTACCACCAGGCTTAGGACTTGTCCGTCATGTCAATTGGTACTATAAAAAACTGTTAACATTACCTGAGACGTGGGCAGGTACTGTAGAGTATGTTATGGAATATGTTATGGAAAACTTTTGTAATTCGATCAGCACTAAACTTGGTGTAATAAGTTCAGTGTAATAATAATTTCAGGAGAGAAGTTCGAAAATAAAAAATCAAAGTCAAAGTCAAAGATCATTTATTCCATAGGTAAAATAAATTTACACTTGAAAACGTCACATTTACATGACATTGCATTAACCTACTGCTCGTTCACTACGCTGATTTCCCTGAGAAGAACGAGCAAGAAACTCTAGGGATTACTCTTTTCAAATATACTTAAATACTATGGAATACACTTAGAATCAAATTTGTGTGGATTCTGGAGCCGTGTCGTCTTTCCATACATCTTTATCTAACACGCAGTCTTCAATTTTGTAATAAAGCTTTTCAATCAAAATATTTTTAACGTAGTTTTTAAACTTAGGAAATTATAATCTTAATATATGCTCCGGAATCTTATTGTAAAAACGTATACAGTCCCCATAAAAGAGTCGTTTACCTTGGTTACACGAAATCGTGGTACCATGAGTTTGGACTGAGCTCTAAGGTTAATATTATGGATATCTTCTTTCTTATTGAAATTTTTACGGGCATATAAAATATTTGAGTAAATGTACTGTGATGCCACAGTCATGATACCAGTCTCCTTAAACTTTTCTCTGAGAGAAACCCGAGAGCCTAGACGGTACACAGAACGAATCGCTCATTTTTGCAATACAAATATGGTTTGAATATCTGCCGCTTTACCCCACATGAGAATCCCGTAGGACATTTTACTATGGAAGTAACTAAAGTAAGCTAGTCTAGCAGTACTAACATCGGTAGCTCACGTATTCTGCGAACTGGCCAGGGAAGATATTTGTGGAAACCACTGAAGTTTACTATCGAAGGTCATTCTCAAGAAGACTGCTTTATTAACAAGGTCTAAATTTTCTCCGTTTATTTCTATGCTTGGACTAGTCGATTTTACGTTAAGTAATTCAAATTTAACACATTTTGTCTTCTTGGCATTAAGCAATAATTGTTAGCATTAAAACCAATAAACTACCTTAGAGAGGGTATCATTAATGTAGTTATAATTATTGTCATGTCTGTCTTTTTTAAAAATCAAGTATGTGTCGTCAGCAAACAATACTATTTCGCAATGGTCCTTAACAAAGAATGGCAGATCATTAATATAAATCAGAAGTAAGAAAGGTCCAAGTATTGAGCCCTGCGGAACACCCATTTTTACCGGAGAACCCAAAGAAGTCACTCCATTTATGTCAACTTTCTGTATTCTATCGTTGAGATATGACGAGACAAGTTCCGACGCTTTGCCATTAACACCGTAATATTCTATCTTCCTAATAAGATTACTCTTACTATGTTACTATGGTCAACGCAATCAAATGCCTTTGAGTTGTGGGAGCTCGTATATCGGTCAGACTACAAACAATTGTCGATCGTATGAAGTAACACATCCGAGCAGTAAAAAACAATGATGCACATAAGTCGGCTATAGCACAACATCTCACATAGACTGACACTAACCACTGGATCGAGTTGCATAGCCCCCAGGTACTCTCGACAGAACGTCACTACATAGCACGGTTGATACGAGAAGCCATCGAGATCACGAACTACAAAACATTTAACCGTGATGATGATTTTAAACTGTCCAGTTCATGGAGTCCTTAGTGCGTGCAGTAATAAAAACAAAAACACCTCGAATTCAGTTTCGCGTGTGGATACAGTGAGTGTGGTTTGTGTGAAAAAAGTGAGTGACAATGGTCACAACAAATCGCGATGAAGTCGTCGACAGCGCAAGAGGGTAGACAGATATGTCTGCTCTTAAAGCTGTCATCTGCCGCCGTCCAGTCAACCCGTGACCATGAAGCGTGCAACCGTTCCGAAATATCGGGAAATTAAAAAGAAGTCATACCGTGGTAAGAAACCTGATACTAGTGATAATCATTTAGTGAATAACCACGAAAGTCTTAAAATCTAATTGCTTTTGAGAGTCACAGAAACACCAATAGCGCTCTGGGTTTCCCAAGCATCAAAGATGTGTTTTAGTAATGCTACCCCCGCATCGCTAGTCGATCTACCACTAGTAAACTCGTATTGTTCACTATGAAAAATATGATTCCTACCGAAATAGGACAGTAATTGAGTCAGCATAACCTTTTCGAATATTTTACTTGAATCTGGTAAAATTGAAATGGACCTATTGTTGCTAGGATCAACTTTCGCACCACTTTTGAATAAGGGAATAACCTTGCTGTATTTTTTTTTATATCGGGAAAAACACCTTCATCAACGCACCTGTTGAAAGCTACAACTAAATGTGGGGAAATTCGATCAATAACTGAGTCTATAACTTTTGTTAATATGCCCCAGAGACCTTCAGTTTGTTCAACATGTATAGATTTAAAGGCTTTTATAATGTCTTGTGGATTAACATGACGCAAATTAAATAAACTGCCACAAACGTCAACATTTTCCTTTAGAAGATCAATAACAAGAGAAGGGGAGGAATTTGAATGATGATTCTGTAGTGTTCTTAGCAGTTTCTGAAAAGAACTATTCAAAAGCTTGGGCTACCTTGTCTTTAGATTTTATAAGTTCGCCGTTTAATTCTAAAAAAATAACAAGACATTTATTAATCCACAAAACACATATTGGTCATTCTTAGACTAGCGTTCACCCAATTTACGTGACAATTTTAATAGAAATAAAACTAGAAACCATTTATTGCAACTCCACATTACAAAAAAAGGCACAAAAAAACTAATGTAAATAAAAACAGGTATAAAACAAAAAACAGCAACGTAACAACATTTAAACAACAAATTACATAATATTATACCGACATGTATGCGGCTGTGGTGTATGCAAAAGGATTCAGCTAAAGTCACAACCAAGACAAAGCTGTGACGCTGGTTTTCAGTGGACTCTAGCCGAGTGGACTCTAGCCGAGTGGACATATACAATATTTTTATTATTTAGTATTCGATTTTTTATCATGCATTTATATTATTTAATGTGCGAGTATTGTATCGTGAAATATTATTTAATAATTTTACAATATTGAACTAGAATATTTAAATAATACAAATAGCCAGGGAAATTTGATTCGAGAATGACCGATAAACGATAATATAAGCGAACAATTAAAAATTAAAAACAGTAATGTGAACAAGACGAATGAAGAGCCAGCGTCCCTGACTTTCAGTCTTGACCTACAGCTATTCGTTTGCTGCATCAGACCGGCAAGCGATGTGTACACTTAACACCAACTAATTAATAAAAATTCATACGCTGTCTATGTTGCACTATTGGTGCACTTGGTGCAACGGGCTGGTATCCGCAACTCGACGACAAAGCGCCTATTTTGCGTGTGGTTATGTTGCACTATATGTAAAACGGTATAAAAATTGTACTAAAAAAATTGAAAATTTTATTTATTGTTGCTTGGTGATTTAACCACGAACGATTCCTACTCGTATTTACACATTTTTTTAAAGACTCTACAAACGAAATTATTAGACGACTTTTAATTTTTTTCACCTCAGTAGTTTCATGTAGTTCGTTATTATTTTTATAACTATAGTATAAAAACAATACATATTTTTATATCCTGGTTTTTATAACTTTCGTGTGATAAAGGCACTTTTACGTATGATACGCTTAGACTATGATCACGAAATTTTGACTCTTACCTAAGTAAACGTGACGCAGAATTACGACACATGTTACAGTATCGGAGCCAAATTTTAATAACTCGAATGCCTACGACAGTTTACGTCCATTCTATTTGTAGTTTGTCTCCATAAACTACGAAACACTCATAAAACGAACATTCCTCGTAAAATATTCCCAGTAGCAAATATCAGAAGTACCAAAACGTAAACAAACCCTTCCCCTACTACCTACTCACTGCCTCTGTGGCTTCAACTGCCTTCCAGGCCGGGAAAAATATTTATGTGGCCTACATTTATACTACGTACTACATATTTCGGTGCTGGTGAAATTACAGTACATGGGACTTATCAACTTATGTCTTAAGTGACAGGCGCAGTAACAGTCCCATCAGATCTTTGCAATTTAAAGCTCCGAGTGGCTCAACGGATAAGGATGCTTTGGTGAGTATCGCGTGGCGGGTCGGGAAGCAACTCCTGTCTGCCA